TAAAAAAAAAAAAAAAAAAAAAAAAAAGAACAATTACAACACGGACTTTGTTCGACGGAACACTCACAGTAACACTGATTCCATCACTCAGACCAACTCTGGCCCTGTTATGACAGGGACTATACCGTACATCAGAGGCACCTCTGAAACTATTGCACGTATATTGCAACCTTACAATATACGTGTTGCATACAAACCACTTTACGGCAACTGCTTACTAATGTCAAGGACAAAGACAAACCGGAGGACAGACAGGGAGCAGTATCCAAGATCGAATGCTGCGACTGCCAGGCTTATTACATGGTTAAAACCGCCAGAAACCTGAGCACGCGACTGACCGAACACAAACGCGCAACGAGGAATGGTGACGTCAACAATCACATTGCTGAGCACCATTTAAAGACGAGACATCAAATTGACTGGGATTCTGCGACATGTATAACGTATTCTACAGACTACTATCAACGTCTTACTTTAGAAAGCTGGTTTACTAACTTACAACAAACGCCACTGAATCGTAGCCAACAGTTACCAGCGCCGTACAAACGGCTTATTGACGAGATCAAGCAAAACTAACTACGAGAGAACGACTAGAGAACTGACAATTTGACTAACAATAGACGACTGTTTAACTGTGACAATAGACGGATCGAAACGCACCAATTACTGATTACAAGTCTTCATAGCCAATAACATCACGGCTTAACTGACAGACGACCAATAACATCGCGACGTAATTGACTAATCAGATCAATAACCAGAGTATAATACCATCAACTAACGCGATACAACTCACTTTGACTTTGAAGATGACTACCGCACAGGTTTTCCAAACGTCAGTCACTGTCAATAATAACAGTCCTATTCAGGACTACGTTCACCCGCACGATCAAACTCAACCTACGCTTGAAACACTTCATGCCAGAAACTTTTCAAGGCTTGCACGTTTCTAACTTCAAGACTTTGCTCACGATACTACAAGTACAGGCATGACTTTTCACACGCAGCTTGTGTGCTTTTGATAATCACTTTTCAGGTAGTACACCTGCTATACCATTTCGCCTATCCTTTCTGGCGTCTGCGCTTTTTGTGTTAATCAACGACAGGAAACCGAGTTAGTTCTGGGAATATAGCTGCCCCTGAAATGTATGTATTACAAATGAAGCAAGCCCGTTTCCCGGGAGTTGTACTACTTGGCTAAAGAGAAAAAGGATCGCTATTATGTAATATCTAGGCATAACGCTTCTAAGATAGCAGAGTTACCGCAAAGATTCCCTAAACAGGGTCGTCAGGTGGTTGGGGGAGTGAGATTTCGCAGCAGCTATCTTTAAAACAAGGAACGGGGACAGGGGGAATGGGAATGGGGAACGGGGAATCTTTAAAAGCGGGAATCTTTAAAATGGGGAATCTTCAAAAAATGGGGAAATTTCTTAAGCGGGAATATTTAAAATGGCGAATCTTTAAAAGTAGAAATCTTTGAAAAGGAGAATCTGTAAAACGGGGAATCCGATTTAAAAGATTGCCCTTTTTAAAGATTCCCCGTCTTGGCGATTCCCACTTTTAAAGATTCCCCGTTCCTCGTTCCCCAGTCTCGTTTTCCGATTCCCGGTTCCTTGTTTTAAAGATATCCATTTCGCAGCTTTCTTTTATTTTTATTTTTTTCGCCTTCATGCTAGGATCTTTAGAAAATCCTGAAAATGCGCCAAAAATCATATCCCACAAAAATTTTGCTCCACATCATATGTATCTCTGAATATCGTAGAACAAAAAGAAAACAAGTAAAGAATTCATCGCACTTAGGGAAGTGATATAACTTCTTTACCTTGCACTTAAAACTTACCAATTTTAGTAAAATCCAACCAGTAGTCTATTATCAATGCTGCGTTCTGATTGGTTGAGCTACTACTAGGCTATATGTTATAGCCCAGTAGTAGCGAAAAGCGCGGGCTTTTTGGCGGCAAAAAAGGATTTAAGTCTAGCTTTAACTACCTAAAAGTTTTTTATTCTCGATATATTTGACCAACTAGTTGGATT